GGATGGAGGTCATTGCTATTAAAATGTTGGAGGTCGTTGCTATTAGGTTGGAGGCGTGGCGGTTAGGTCGTCTCAGCTCCGGACCCTCTGAGCTTGTTCGCAATGCACAGCATCACCCAGCACACAGACCTCGAAACGCCACACGAGAACAACACGTTCTGCACCCTCGGGCCGTGTGGAACTGGGATAGAAGACGCACCTTCAAGCGAGGTCGAGGCACATGTGGCAGCTTGATTGTGCCTCCACATGGACGAAAGTCAGACTTGTGCTTTCCAAAAATGAAAAGAAAAGGCCAAAGAACTACTGTTGTGTTCTATTCGTAGAATATCGTTTAGACATGTTCAGACTAACAACCTTTAAAGGTCAATTTGTTTTGCCATGTGGAATTCCAACACCTGCAAAACGCTTGTCTCGCTGTGTGTCGTAGTCCTTCAGGCCAATCTGGAGTTCGACCTCCGAGTTGCACATTGAGGTCCCAAACAGGCCATGTTTGGTTTTTTGACTAAACATGCTTTGAGGAGTTAAAGATGAACAAAGCATAACAAAGCTCTTCAACGTTTGAGGCTGCAGACCGGGGGTTCTCTGAGCGAAAACAACACAAGCAAACGTCAGACGAGTCGAAAACGCGGAGCCTGCCTGTGTTTCTGATAAAGCGCGCTTGCTTTATGCAAAAAAATGTTCAAACAAACGGCTTTTTCGAAAAAATCAGCGCGAAGAAGTCGAATATGAACAGAGTAATGCCGGATTTGGACAAGGTGTTTTTTCATCTCCCCAATCAAGGTGTGGCTTCATGCTTTTTGCATATCGCATTTCATGTTGAAAAAACCTTCAAAAATACTGCTGGCACCAGTGAAAAATGGATGTCGGCGCTTTTTACAGTGTAAATCACAGTGTAAGTCGCAGCACACTTGCACGGCCAAAAGAAAAACTATGTCTGATAGTCAGCCCCTTTTTTTGTCTGATCACTTGCATTTCATTTTGTACTTTTGCAGCCGTAAGGTTCGACACGAAGAAAATTTGTGTCTGATTGTAATTTGTAGGGTCCTAGGCCCCCAAGGCCTGTCTGCACTATACGTGTGTAGCACCTGTTGTTCGTAGTTACTTGTACATCTATTCCTCAGTCAGCTTAACAGCATAATTAATGCTGCTTTTTGCTCAAGACCACTAGAGCCCGCACTTGCACTGCTCGCCATAGAAAAGTATGCTCTCTGCCGTTCGCACACTTCCACACTCCGCTATCGAGTCTATTGGGTCTTACTTGGTGTAGTCTTGGTGTTATCGATCAGGTCCAGTGTACTGTACTTCACTGCCACTTTGGGGAACTTACCCCTCACCCCCACCCAACCCCAACTCCCCGACCCCATTTTAATCACACGACTAATCGATGACAATGTTGTGGTCATGACAATGCTGTCATCGATGACAATGTTGTGATCGATGACAATGTTGTGATGCTGAAGTCCCCGATGTCCCCGATGATGCTGAAGTCCCCGGAGAACCCCGCGTCCAGAACCACGTTTGATCCCCTGCTTTGAGGTTCGAACAGGCCTGTAAAAGCTCACAAAGAGGGACGTTTAAAAAAGTCACGAAATGAAGTAATTAGCTGGAGGTCAACGATAATTCAGCAGGGAGCTGCTTTCAGACCTCCATGTTTGGGCTCTTTCATTGCGGCACTCAGCTCATCAGCAATCAGTTCTGGATCGATGGTTCAGGGCCAGGGAAGACTTTGGAATGCACTTGTTCACGGTCTTTGGATCCAAAAGACACTCATGGTGGTGAAAGCTTGTGATTGTTTCCAAAAAGTGAACATGATTTCTAGTTGGCATCGAAGGTGCTGTCTCCAGGAACTTTCGCTGCTTCTCCTTGCTGCCATCCAGGATTTGGACCTCAGATTCGAAGCGCGGAATACCATGGAAAACCAGATCCTTGATGTGAAAGCATGGCTTTACGAAAGCCGAGAACTTTGCAATGCCCTTCTTCAAGTTGTCGATGTTCAGCTTCGACATGGCGAGCCCAGTGCAGCCCGTGCTTGAGACCGTCTACGGTTAGGTAAGACTGGCGACCAGTGGTGTATGCAGAAACACTGCCACCACATCTCTTCCACAGCGCAAGCTACGGCCGGAAGCCGATCTTTTCTGCGTGCTTTTCTCGCTTTGTGAAACGGACAACTCAAGAGCGCAGTTGGTCGCCGGATCATTCCGGATCTATCCGGATTAGGTTGGAAGCCATCGTTATGATCTAGATATTTGTCTCAGTTACAGAGTCAACCTTGCAATAACAGCTGCCAACCATGTTAAGCATTCTGTTGCCTGTCAAACACACGTCGTGGTGACGAAGACATTAACTGGAAGGCCTCTGGGAGGCACAGAATCAGGGCCAAAAGACCAAGAATTCCCTCTACCAGAAGCATCTGCGAATCAGGCCAAGTCCTTCCAAAAACTTCTCCAGAATAAAATCGGCGATGATTGTCAGTCTTCTCTATGGAAATGTGATGAATGCTGCTAACAAGCAAATGATATCTGTTCATTGACTTATTTACTTGAGCACGTCATTGACTTAAGGGCTGGACACTTGAGAGCTCAGCACTGTCAGCAATGTCAGGAGCGCCGTGTTGACGATCGCATGGAGCACTGCAAACAAGAGCCGCCTGAAGGCCACGAGTCGACCGAGCGTCAAAGAGGGCCCGGGCGTGGAAGTTGAATCCCGACCTCTTCACACCTGCGAAGTTGGATCAAAGTTTGATTGCTTTTAGATCCTGTGATAGCAATGGCCTCCAACCTACTAGCAAAAGGAACCCAATTGCGATGGCCTCCAACCTATTGGGCCAAACTGATGGCCTTTGGCTGTCGACTTATTCACTTCCAGCCTGAGGACTGCTCATCCACCCTAGAGACCTCGAACTGAGTGCCATGAGGCAGTTCACATGTTCGGCCCCTTTCGCAGTGAGAAGCAACCAAGCCGCTTCCGAGCCTGTAAAATCCATAGAAGCCGCGTGACGCTCAAAGCACTGCCCAGTGTGCCAACCTGAGCAACTTCGACATCGCAGATCATCGCAGCAAGTGCCGACAAGGCACCTGTGCCAAGATCAAGAAAACACCACCCAGGAATGGCCAGAGCTTGGCACTTAATGCCAGCAGTTCCTGCAGAAGCCGAGCTGTCAAATGCTCTTGGGCTCATCAGAACACAAAGCAAAGATTGGCTAATCACGACACTTTGAAGCACTTCAGCTGAGAAGCTTCTGCTGACAAGGTGACCAGCAAAAGGCTGGCAATGCTCAGACCAGCTAAAAGCGCCTGGAGCGTCAACTCGCCAAAAGCATTGCTGCTTCATGACTAAGCTAGGAAATGTTACAGTATCACACAATATTTCATATGTCATGCTGCTTAGTTGTTTGAGATGTACACATGTCCTTCAAAAAAAGGGTTGAAAACTCTGACGTCAAACACGTCAAGTGATGCTTGCTTGGGTGCGCCTGGCAAAGATCGCAACAAACGGATGCCAATACCTGCAAGACTGCCACCATCACCGTCTAAGTTGCCAGTGCTGCCAGTCAAGATGATCAGGTCACTTGGCACTGCCACACGTTGGACAAAAGCTTGGCGACATCCGCATCTTGAGGATCCAAGAGCTCCAAGTGCGCTGCCTAGGAATGGGACATCACGCGTTCTTAACAACCTAACGTGCTGTGCTGGCCCTACAGATTGATAATGATTGATATCAGTTGATGTATGTATATAACTTAATTGTCTGCTAGAATCTGCCAGTGACAAAAGAACGAGGGCTCTTAAGAAAAAGGTCAAGGCCCTCAATAAGGGCACCCCCAAAATGACCATAAGGGACCCTTTTTCGCCTGATGACACATCGAATATGGTTCTAGGCATCCGGACATCGGGGTCCAATATGACCAAGCTCTCTGGACCAAAGATCGCTTTCTGCGACCTGGAGCGAAAGTCAAAGAAAAAACTCCTAGTAGCGTCCTTGTTCCTAGTAGTAAGGCCAGGAGCCCCTAGCGTCCTTGCTCCTAGTAGCGATGCCCTTTGCTCCTAGTAGCGTCCGATGTGTGATGAAGTGATGTGTGCGTTTTGTGCACTTTGCTAAACCACATAGTGCCAGAAATGAAAGCATGGACCATGTTGCCATGTTGCCAAATGCAGACGGGGCAAGCCTCAAGCTGGAGCCCATAGGTGCTCCTGTCAGACCCGAACATGCCCAATCCAGCCTAAATGAATCCCGAGGGCGTGTCGTTCCAGGTGCTCTGTCTGCTTCCGCGTTGTTTGCATCCCTTACTTTCCAATGATTTTGCCACACCAAAAACCATCCGAAGCTCCTTCTGTCCGATCACGCCTTCCTGCCAACTTGGAGAGACTCTTTTGCAGCAACTTTCGAGCTTTGCATGGTTTGCATATGTTTGAAAAGCAAGACCCAAAGCAAAAAGCCCTGTCTAGGCCTAGGCTGCAGAAACTTGTCTTTTGGCAGCTGCTACAGCTACTCGGAACAAAGGGCATCGCTACTAGGCAAGGACGCTACGGGATCCTGGCCTTACTACTAGGAACGAGAAGCTACTAATAACAAAAGGCATTACTACTAGTAACAAGAAGCTGGCATCAGCACTAGGAGCAAGGACGCTACTAGGGGCTCCTGGCCTTACTACTAGG